GGGCGCGGCCGCTGGCGGCCGCTGGCGTCGCCATGATTGGTGGTGGCGGTGGCGGCGGACCTGGCGGCGGCGGCGGCGGCAGCGGGGTTCCCCGACCGGCTGCAGCGGGCCTTCCGGCGCTGATACTTAATGGTGGTGGCAGCGGTGGCGGCGGACCTGGCGGTGGCGGCGGCAGCGGGCCCGCACTTTTTGCTTCGGCGTTGGGCACAGGCGCCTGCAACGACGGTGGCAGCAGTATGGGTTGTACAACACCTCGTCCGTTCATCTCGCTGGGTTTTACGTCCGCTGATGATGCTCCCGCCATATTACCTTCGCTGCTGTCTTCCTCAGCTGACTGGAATTCATCGCTACCTCCCCCGCCGCCCTCGCCGCCGCCGCCGTCGGCCGTAACGCTGGTCTCAGCCCATGGCGCCGCGCGAAGGCGATGCTGCTGTACGGCAGACAAGATGCCCAGCGGTGTTATGCTAGGCTGGGGCTCCTGAACATCATCATAAACGTCCCCGCCTCCGCCGCCAACCGCTCCGCCACTGGATGTCGTCGGCGCCGTACACTTCGCCGCAGTTGCAGTCGCCGTCGCCGCCGCCGCCGTCGCCGGCGGATTACGCTTCGACGGCGATGGCGAGGCAAAAGGCCAAATTCCAGCCATCCAGCCGCCACCACCGCCACCGCCGCCGCCGCTGCCGCCGCCAGCACCAGCGCCGCTAGGCTGACAGTTAGCGGTTAGCGGGTGCGATTCAACGCTATCCTCCAACGGATCCCGAGATGCAAATCGCGCCATGAGTTGATCGAGCGCCGCCTTAGCTGCGGCCGACCGTACACTACCTGTACTGCCGCATGGAGCTGTTGTGGCAGCAGCTGACGCTGAAGCTGCCACCGGCGCCGCCGCCAAAGTTTTCGGCGTCGCTGCACCCGCCGCATCCACCCCAATCGGTGCCGCCGCCTCCGCCACTGTAGCAGCAGCAGCAGTATCAGGAAAAAGGACTGGGTGGGAAACCGTGGCGGCGGCGGCGGCGGCGGGATCAGGGGCCCCAGCGACGGAACTAGAGGTCCCATCAGGAGAGGGGGGAAATAACGCAGCTCTGGGAACACGTCGCCGCCGGCCGCCGCCGCCGCCACCGCAAGACCCGAGATCGCCGCTGTTGACGTCACTGCCGCTGCTGCATCTAGCCCTCGACGGGGACCGATGACCTTTGCCGTGGCGGCTATCTGAATAGTCCCACGAAGGATGCACGTCAGCGTCTTCCCCTTCCGCCGGCGCCGACGCCGACGCCGGCGGCGGCGGCCATTGCGCGGTAGACCGACGAATTGTCGGTGCCGACGTCGACGCCGATATCGCTGCCGTCGCTGCTTGATTGCAACGGCCTGTCGTACTAGGTTCGGGGGCTGCCGAAAAGACCGCCGCCGCCGCCGCGACAGAACCTCGTACGACAACTGTGTCTGTCGTACTTTCCTCGCTAACGCTGGCCCCGTCGGCGGTATTGCTCCCCCAGCTGGCACCCCCCGGGCGGCTGCCGCCGCGGAGGGACCTAATCGCGCCCGCCACGACGCCGGGAGCCACCAGCGGCACCGGCGGCGGCAGCACCGCCGCCGCCGCCGCCGACCGGCAGCTCCCGCCGCGCTGCGGATTCGCGCAAGCTGCCCGACCGCCGTCGTCGTCCGACCACGATTCGCCGCCGCCGCTGCTGCTCGCCCCATCGCCGCCGCCGCGCCGCTGACAGGACAGGACCTGCTGCTGTTGCTCCTGCCACCACGCAGAGGGGTGTTCCCCTGCCGCCAGCGGCGTCACCACTTCAGGAATCCGCTCCTGCGCCGTCGCGGAATCGGTGGCCGTCGCCTTCGGTGCAGCTACCGCCACCGGCGGAGGCAGCCGCGGCCCCTCAACCTCAGCCTCCGCCGCCGTTGCCGTACACCCCGCCTCCGCTGCCAGCCGCGGCTGTACCTCCCGCCGCATCCATCCAGGCATCTTGTACGCCGCGAGCTGCTTCCGCTGCTTCCGCTGCTGCGCATCTTGCTCCTGCGGCAGCGCCTGGCCTGCTACTGCCGCCGCCGCTGCCGCCGCCGCTGGCTGCTGCCGCTGCTGTTGATGAGTTAATTGAGATAGCGGCAGTCGGTATTGCTCGTAAGCTGGTGGCTGTGCTATCGGAGGCTGTCGTTGTTGTTGTTGTTGTTGTTGTTGTTGTTGTTGTTGTTGTTGTTGTTGTTGTTGTTGTTGCCAAGAGGCAAAGTCGCCTGCCGCCATGGCGGCCTTTTGGCCCTGTACGAAATAGCTTTGCTCCGGGGAATAACCCGGAGGAGTTGTGGGGTACGGCAGTTGCCGCTGCGGTTCGGCCCGCTCTAGGCCTGGAGGAGATTGAAGCTCCGACTGCTGCTGATGGTGGTGATGGTGGTGATGGTAGTGATGTGGATAAAGAACTTGCTGTTGTTGTTGTTGTTGTTGTTGTTGTTGTTGTTGTTGCTGCTGCTGCTGCTGTGGCGGCGGCGGCGGCGGCGCAACGCCACTCGCGGCACCCAAGTCCACTTCCGTCAAAGGATCCGCCGTACTCTGCCTAGCCGCAATTCCCGCGTTCAGCGGCGTCGCCAACGCAAGCAAAGGTGGCTCCGCCGCCGTCGCCGCTGCCAGCGGCTCTGCCGTACTCCTCCTTGCCGCTAGGCCCGCACTCAGTGGTGCTACAGCCGCCGCTAATGCGTTACCACCGCCGCCGGCCATCCTGGACGGCCCTAGCGGCCCGTAACGCCCACTTGCCGTACTCGGCATCACCTGGTGCTGCCGCTGCATGCTGTCGGTGGCGACGGCAGCAGTAGCGGCGGAAGCCACCGGCGTCGCCGTCGGTGTTTGCTGCCTTGGCGGCAGCTGGCACGACGGCTGCGGCGTCGGGTATGGCTGCTGTCGGTACGGCAGGTACGACGATGACTGCTGCGACGGCAGCGGCTGCTGCTGCTGTTGGTACTGCTGTTGCTGTTGGTACTGCTGTTGCTGTTGGTACTGCTGTTGCTGTTGGTAATGCTGTTGCTGCTGGTACTGCATGGCAACTTCTGGGGGTAATCTGCAAAGTGGAAAAGGAAGGAGAGTCCAGCCCGCAACGGGGGAGGCGGGAGGGGGGAGGGGGGAGGGGGGAGGGGGGAAAAGCCGAACCACGAGGGGGGAGGGGGGGACTTACATGCAAAGTTCAAGGAACAAAGAGGCGAGGTCGTGTAGAGAAGGAAAGGCGGAAGCACTCCGGGAGGGGCACAAGCTATGCTGCCCGACAGAACCGAAACACACACGAACACGCCTCACATCGACGGGGGCGGGTGGCCGGGGGGCCCTCTCGGGGCGGAGGAGTCCCTAGGGCAATTTGACAGCTTCTCTCCCCCCTCCTCCCCTTCTCCCCCCTCCTCCCCTTCTCCACCCCTCCTCCCCTTCTCCCCCCTCCTCCCCTTCTCCACCCCTCCTTCCCTTCTCCCCTCCTTCCCCCCTTCTCCCCTCGTCCTCCCCCCTTTTTCTCCCGTCCGGGAGTGCTCACCCACCTGGCCCTAGCGTTGTTCATCAGGTTCGCCTGCAGCGGCGAGAATACCGCCGTCATCTCGGGAGGAGCGGGTTCCGGAGCCGGGGCAGTTGAAAGCTGGGGTTGTGGCAGGAGATCTTGAGGTTGGAGGCCCCCCTGGTATTGGGGCTGAAGCTGAGGTGCGGCCGGTTGAGGTGGAGGAGGTGCGCGGGCCATTTTGGAGGATAGGGGCGCAAAGGAGGCGAGGGGAGTACCCCTGCCGCCACCATTGACGCCACCGTTGATGCCGCCGTTCACGCCGCCAGTTCCAAATCCGATTCCAACGGCTGGCGGCCCGCTTGCTGACGTGGCTGCAGCTGTTGTCGTGGCCGCAGCTGCTACGGAGGCGGCCGCGAGCATGAGGCTGCGATTGCGGTTTAGCGCAGCAGCTAAGGGGCCTTGGGCGATTGGGGCTGCGGAGGGCGGGCCCGCCGCAGCGGGACCTGGCTGCGAGTGTACTGATGAGGTTAGGAGGTGGGGTGGTTGAAGCAGAGGTTGCGGGGAGTGCTGGGGATGGGGCTGGGACTGGGGTTGCGGCTGCGGCTGGATCCATTGATCATCGATGGGTTGGAGTTGTTGCGTTTGTTCCGTGTTTTGATGTGGATGGGGGTAGTGATGATGGTGGTGATGATGTGGGTGCTGACGGTGCCGATTCGTCTGCTGGTTTTGGAGTCCGTTGGAGGCAGAGGCGGAAGGGGGAGTAAGGTGGTGCGCGGGGGGCCCAGGGGGAGTGCGCGGAGCCCCAGTGCCCTGGCTGGTGGGGGAGAGCAAGCTGCGCGCTGCACCCTGGACAGCTGGAGGTGCGAAACCGGATGCAGATGCTGCTGGAAACGGAAGCGATGGGCCGGGCGGTGGCTGACCCCGTGGCATTTCAGATGGCACGGCGCAAGAGCACAGCCTTCACGTTTATTGACCTATGCTGGCTGGATAGGTTTCCGCGAGATCTGCAATGTTCGCCAGGTCAGCGAGCTGTCGTCGGTATTAAAATGACCTGTCAATGAAACTTTAAAGTTGAAGAAGCATCACGGCAACCTATCCTGCTGGGACGCTGCATGAATGTGTGTAGATAAATAAAAAGATATGCATATAAGTCCCGAAGAAAAGAAAATGACTTGACGAACAGCTAGGTGACAACGGGATCTGCAAGGAACGAGGTTGGTAAGAAGTTTCCGTCTAGTACATAACTAAGCCATCTCAACAACAGTATGCAGGGCACGACGGGTGCGATGCAAGGGGTAGAGTAATGTTCAACCAACCGCCTGCTGTACATGGTGACGGTGATGCGCAGCGCTTAACCCTTGGGACTTTGACTCGCCGTAATTATACGCAAGAAAAGGCAACCAATACGGCTGCACCCCCGCGAGCCCAATCCTTATATTGCTCGTCGATATTCCTGGCATTCATGGTCACGAGTGACCGCACGCTTTAACTAAAGCTTCCAGCGAGGCTTCAGCGACTGTCATTTTGCGAACGGAAACATAAACCTCGGGAAATCATAATTATCCGAATCCGAACGCCATGGAGACTTGGAGAGTCCGCGAACCTGACCGAAGACACACACTTCGACAAAACGACTTACAATTGGTATACCATGTGGATAGAGGCAGCAGCCAGCACCCAGAAACCCTAAGCTCGTGGCACATTCGCTTGGTTCGTGCCTTCACACAAGTGGAAAACTTTCCCCCTTCTGTTTTTGGCTTCTTGCCTTTTTGATGACCTCCTTTCTCACCGGGGTTGGGATTTATGTTCGGTTGTGCCGTGTCGCCACAGCGCTTCGGTTTCGTGATACAAGTTACAAGTTCCTTGCACACAAGTGCGGGTGTGTCCGTTAAAGCTGGGGGGCTATGGACGTTGTATTGGTATTGATGCGGGTATGCGGGAGGTCATCTTCATTCTCCCTCGTCCGCTTCAGAGTGAAGCGCCTCAGCGCGACGTGCCTGGCCTCCCAAATTTCCGAGAGGTACCTGGCCAATGCCAGGGGTGGCGCCTCAGTCGCATGCTGCGCCCCTTAATGACTAGATCACCATCATACTTAGCCCGTATGCTCTTGTAAGCGGGACGTCCATCGAAAACATGCAACTCATCTTCAACCGCTCCACAGTCACAAAGCCTGCAGGTACGCGCGGTGCGCTCACGCCCATTAGGCCTATTAACCCCTAACTCCCAACAGCCTAACCGAAAACGCATGAGCACATGAATTGAATGTTTCGTGATACTGGCCAAGAAACGACCAAACGACCTCAAAGACGGCACGGTCGTTACACAACTTCACGCCTAGTAACCCTTGAGACGCACCCACATGCACGCACCCACAGGGCTTGCAACGTTACTCACTGTGCGCTTCCTACGGCTTTGGTGGCGGCTCTATATATGTCGCGCCGCAGGGCGGAATGAGGACCCCGCTCCCCACCTAAACTGTCCTGGAACCGTACTTTCGTGTCTTGTATCGTAAGTGTACTCTGTCGTACCGTGTCCAACATGCATGTGCACGTGTGCATTATAAAACGCTGCGTGCCAGAAGCGCCGGGATGCGCGGTGACAACGATGGCCTAAGCGGCCCCAACGAACTTAACTGTCAGGCTCCAAGATGCAAGGATGGCCAGGAACGAAAACTAGGGTACTCAGCTTCTTCGAAGTCGAAAACGGCTCGGCCCCGGTACAGCCAGTTACCCAGCAGTATTCCGCAGGGGAGGCTGTACGGCATTGGGCTGCAAGCGGATGAACGGTGTCGTGTTTGGACTAATACGCTCATTATTATTATGGATAGCCGAAGGGCCGGGTGTGGCGGCTGGCGGCGTTGGAGTGATGTATGAATCTGGTGTGTACACTTGCTGCTAAGGTGCAAATGCAAATCCATGGACGGTGCATTGCGTGCCGCCACCATCTCAACAAGAACGGCTGCTGAGCATCTATAGCCTCCTGGTAGTGCGCGAACCCAGTTCCCCATCGCCGGTCGAACTGGAGAGTAGGACATGTAAGAGATGTGCGTGAGGCGGAGCAGAAGGCAAGGAGGGCGGTCTTGCTGGACCAGTTGGCATGGATGGGCTGCTGGAGTTGCGGAGTGTGTGGCGGAAGCTGAGCTATAGCCCAAGGAAAGAGGGAGGGAACCGCGCGGCCAGGTATCAAAGCAGCACGAGCACAAGCAGCGTGCGCCGCAGCGTGCACGCACACCGTAACCCCTAAAGGGTCGGTAACCGAATGGTTAGTTATAACCCAACCAGTCGCTTCGGTAGGGTAACCGACAGACTTCGAGATAACAACCGGGGACCTTATCGAAAGGAGCTTCGCGCCCGGGGTCTCGCCCATAAAATTAGGTAACAAGCATGACGGGCTCACCATGGCTCTCATGCATCGTCACGAACGCCCACATCGCTCAGGCTACCCTTGCCTCTGTTACTCCTGCTAGCAGCGCCCTGCTCCATTCGTCCTTTGCAGCAGAAACCCTGAAACCCCCCAAAAAACAAAAAAGGAGATTCTCGTCTTCTTTCACCTCCTCCAATTAACAACTACAAAAAAAAACTTAAGACCCAAATCAACTCCCCAAGCGACCACTTCCACGAAACCCACCCCCAGTTCAACTACTCCCAAATTCAACGCTGCCTCAGACCGATCCGACGTATACGTATGCCTCCAAAACACAATCTCAACTCCTCTAGAAATTCAACCAGCTATGACCCTAAAAGGCTCAACTCATCAACGATAATAAATCAGCGAAAAAACGTTCGCCGGCGCCTGCCGGGAGTTGAAAACGAAAACAAAAACAACAAAACATCGCGTAGGGTGCACACGTACGGCGTGCGTGCGCTCCGACCATACCTGCATTCCCCCCATCTCCCTCATCTCGCGCCCGATCCTGTTCAGCCCCGGGGACCAGCACGATACACCACATCCTAGGTCCTGGCAACCTCCCACCAACTTCCCACCAACCTCCCACCAACCCTGCCCGCAACCTTACCAGCGAAACACATTTCCTCCCTCTTCTCCCCCACCCATGAAAAGGGAGACCACCGCCGGGAAGATACGAGGCGCGACAGCCTGCCGGACATAGTGTACGGCAGCCCGCATATGCCCTGAACTACTCCACTCCCGCTGCCGCTGCCGCCCCTGCCTCCGTCGCCAACACGACATTCGACAACCTACTCTGCACCACGCTCTCGCGCTGTCACAGCCTCCAATCTCTGCCTTCGCTGCCATCCCTGCCCGATTCATGACACGATCGTGTCCACTGGGCCTTCTGGGCCTTACTAAAAAACAAAGAATCTGAAGTACCTGCTCCTTCGCTGTATTGCTGATTTCCTTCCCCTCACACAGCGGCGCTGTCCAGTCACCCGGTGCTGATGCGCTGCATGCTCAACACCTCTTTTCATGCTATGTTGTGCAGCAGCAGCAGCAGCAGCAGCAGCACCACCACCACCACCACCCGAGGGCGCCAGTACCTCGCCACCGCGCTGTGTCGTCCAGTCCTGTCCTGTCGTGCATTCCTAGGCGCGCATTTATAGGCCGCACACGCTTTGCACATTGATCGTTCGGTTGATCGATCGATCAATCGAGAGCTCGGCGCTACCGGATCAAGCTACGATGGCGGCGTCCAACAGCCCACATGTTGTATATTCTGGCCCTGCCACTGCCACTTCTGGGCCTGATGCTTTGTTGCTCCTCTTCCACTGGCCTGCCTGCCCATCCTTGCATAATCGCCGCGCCAATGTTAAAACAACCCCTCCACCATCCGCACCTCCTTACCGTCCACAACCGGAGTAAATCGCAAGACGCTGACAACAGAGAAGAAGTATATCGCCACTTAACCGCTGGTATTGGCATCCTGTGTCAGCGCCCTTCGCCACCGCTTTCCGGGGCGGCATCCTCATCTTGCGCTCTCTCCATCCCGGCCACCCCCTGCTGCTGTTGCTGCTATTGCTGTTGCTACTGCTGCTACTGCTGCTGCTGCTCCTCACCCTCCTGTCGCATTTACTGTTGCTCCGCAACCTCCTGCACCTGCTGTTGCCCGTCCTCAACCTCCTTTTCCTTCTCCTCCTCCTTTTTCATCTCCACCTCCTCAAGAACCATAGAGACTTCTAGACACACCTGCGCCTCCCCTTCCTCCCTTCCCCCCTGACCTGGCGCTATCTGGCGGCCCCCGCCAGGGCAACCCCCGTAGAGACCCCCGTAGCCCTCCGGCGGCCCCGCTGACCCGCTACCTGCCAACCTCCCCGCGCTGCTCCCCTCACCCTCACCTTCACCCTCGACATGCATATCAACATCAACATCTCTAAACCTCTTTATCACAACCTCTTCTTCATGCCGCACCTCCTCCCCATTCCCACACTGGGGAGACCGGAAGTGATGTTCCCCCGGTCTCGGGGAGCTGCCCTGGTCTCGGCGGCCGCGCCCGCGTCTGCGACGGTGCCGCCGCCGCCACCGCCGCCGCCACCGTCATCAGCATCATACTTTTCCGTCTACCGACGCATTCGCGTCGGCAGCCGGGGAAAGGCAGTCGTCACCGCCCACGGAGCGCTCGCCTGCGTCTGTGTCTCCCTCTTTCTTCTCCTCCGTCGATGCCGTTGCTACCGGCGTCTCATTCAATCGGGGCCTAGATCCGCCCTCCCCATCCTCAGTCTCCTCCTCCCTCGCCTCGTAGTTCCCAGCCGCTGCGGCGGCGGAGGACGATGGTGCCAGTTCAGCTTGGAAAACCGCCGCTGGGTCCGTCATTGACTGAGCCTGAGGGCTCGCCGTCGCCTCTGAAGCCACGAGCTCCGCCGCCGCCGCGTCCTGCGCACCTGCCGCCGAGACGTACGGCGGCAGCGGCACATCGTCAGCAACCGCGGACGGATGGCCGCCGCCGCCGCCGCTACCGCCATCGCGGTTAGTAAGGAGCCCCTCCGCATCTGCTTGAGACGGCGGCGATGGCGACGGCGGCGGGAGCTGTGGCTTCTGCATCACCGCCATCCCCTGAGTTGGCGGCGGCGGCAGGGTTAAATCGCCGTCGCCGGTTTCGGAGCTCTCCATGCTGGCACGCTCCATGGAGGTGCGCGTCGTACTACTGCCGCCGCTACTGGTGCCGCTGCCGTCATGTGAGTTGCAGCTGGCGCCGGTGCCGCTGCCTCTGGTCTTGCTGCGGCTGCTGGCACGGGTGCTCTTGCCCTGCCAGCGCAGGGTGTGCCACCAGGGCACGTTGCGGCCAGCGGCGACGGCGGCGGCGGCAGTGACCGCGCTGGTCGCCGCTGCCAGCGGCTCGGAGTTCTCGCTGCCGCCGCCGCTGCTGGCATCGCCAGAGTCGCGTGCGGGGCGGTGGCAGTTGCTGCCGCAGTTACTGGCAGAACTGCTGCTGCTGCTACAGCCGCTTAGTGAACTGCTCGGGGCGCCGTCGACGCCATTGACGGCGCCTAGGCCGCCGCCGCCGTCTCCGCCGCCATCCCTACACAACAAAACGGGAGCCGGCGGCAGCGGCGCCGGCGGCCCTGGCGGCGGCGACAGCAGCTGTATGTCCTTGCTGCTGCTCGCCGGAAGAACTGCTGCGTCAGTTCCGTGGACGTGGGCTGCGACGGCATCCAGATCCGTTGGCGTCGTTTTGTCGTCGTACACCGGCCCGCGGACAGCCATCATCACACAGCATTTAGCGGAGGCGTCTTCCGCTGTTGCACCGGACAGCCTCCCTGTCAGCTTGCATACAGGAGCCTCCGCCTCCGCCACCGCTTCTTTATCCACAGACGACAGCAACACCGCCGCGTCTTCAACAACAGTAGCAGCAGTAGCAGCCGCCTCCTCTTTTGCCACGGCGGCGGTCAATGCGTCCGCTGGCGCCGCAGCGGCCGTTTCTACCTCCGCCGCCGCCACCTGCGCCTCCGCCACCTCCCCCTCCCCCTCAGCCGCCGCCATTCCCGCTTCGCCTTTGCCAGCTTCCGCCTCAACCATCGTGCCTGCCGACTCCGACAACAACGCCGCTGACGACTTCAAAAAACGTCGGACCGCAGACGACGGTTCCCCGACCGCTACAACCTCCGGATGATGTTGCTGTAGCTGCTGTTGCGGCGATGATAACGGCGGCACCTCGCCATCAGTATGTATTCTGTTTGGCGATGATGACTGTTGCTGCGGGTGCAAGTACGGCGCCGAGATCATCATCGTCATCGTCATCGACGGCAGCGGCAGCGGCGGCGGCGGCGGCGGCGGCGATTGCCGGGCCGCCACCTGCTGCGCGTGAGTCTCAAGTGACAGGACTGGCGACGGACAGGCCTCCGGCGGCATAAGCCCCTCCTCACAGGCAGCCGCCGTCGCCGTCGCCGTCACCGCCGGCAGTGCCTCCTCCTCTCCCTCCTCCCCCTCCGCCACCGTCTCAACTGTGAGACCCATTGAGTGGCGATTGCTACCACCGGCGCCGCAGCGTCGGCCGCTTTTGTCTTGGGTGGAGGTGCCGGCAGCGGCTGCAATGCCGCCGTCGCCATCCGCCGCCAGACGCTGCTGCACCTCCTTTCGCATCCACGCAGGCATCTTGTGCGCGGATAGCTGCTTCCTCCGCGGCGCCGACGGATGGCCCTGCTGGGATATATGTGCTGCCGGCGGCGGCGGCAGTATGATCCCTGCCGGCGGCGGCGGCGGCGGGATGATCCCTGACGGCGGCGGCGGCGGCGACAGCGATGGTATGATCGCAGATCGCTGCTGAAGCGTGGCTCCGGAGGCGGCTCCTTCTTGCTGAGCCGCCAGCCACGGCTGCTGCTGCCGTTGGTGGTGGTAGTGCTGCTTCTTCTTCTCTTCCTCCTCCTCCTCCTGTTGCTGCTGCTGCCGCCGCTGCAACAACAGCTGCTGGCGTTGCAAGAACCGCTTCGCCTGGTACTCGCAGGTTTGCCTAAGTGTCTGGTGGCGATGTTGATCGCGGCGGTTTTGCTGGAGGTGCCTGATGGTGAGGCTCTCTGGAGCTTCGGGGGTGTTGTTGTTTTGCTGCTGCTGTTGCTGTTGTTGTTGTTGCTGTTGTTGCTGTTGTTGCTGTTGTTGCTGTTGTTGTTGCTGTTGTTTGTGGTGGTGGTGATTATCCTGGTGTGAAACCCGCAAGTGCTGCTGCTGCTGTTGCGGTGGCGATGGAGGCGGCGGCGATGGAGGCAGTGGGTGCACCGACTTCGGCTCTGGGGCGGAGAGGCTGCTGTGCACCGCGCCCGGTAGTTGGATTTGGGCTTGGAACTCACCCAGCTCGTGTCCTTCCAACGGTGTTTGGTTGAAGTGGAGACGTTGTTGCTGTCGTTGCTGTCGTTGCTGTTGTTGTTGAAACGGTGGGCCGTACTGCAGCTCCTCTCGTCCGTCGTCTCCGACCCAGCCACCGAAGGCCATGGGCTGTGGGTTGAGCCGTTGGTCGGCTTCTTGCCCGAAGGAGGGTTGTCTTGGGGCCCCCCGACTGGCGGCGGTGGCGGCGGTGGCGGCGGTGCCTGACCCTGGTGCTGGCGGCGGTGCGGCAAAAGCAGAGTCGTGCGGCCTGCAATCATCATCATCATCCATCATCGTCATCATCGTCATCATCGTCCATCATTGGCGTGTATGCCGGGCGTGCAGGGCATGACGGCAGGCCGACAGGGGATGGGGAGAGGTACATGAACACACATCTCCGATTGGGAAATTTGGACGGGGGAAACGAATCGTGTGTACAACATGACGAGGCTAACCATGCCATGTCATGTTCATGCATCATCATACACATGAAACCCTCCCCTCCCCCTCCCACATCCCCCCTCCCCATCTCCCCCTCATACCCCCTCTCCATCTCCTCGAGCTGTCTACACACCTGGCCCGCGGTGGATTGTACGACACATAATTGGCCTGTGTACGACACCAGATAGCCGGGGTGAAGAGGGGAGAGGTTTGGGATGAGTGAGGTGACCGGTGCGCAAAGAGAAGCAGAGGGGGAGGGAAGAGAGGAGGGCGATAAGGGATAACGCGTAGCAAATGCACTTACATGTTACCATCTAGAGGAAGGGAGGGAGGTATCGGAATGCGGGGCAGAGAAAGGGATTGGAAAGAGGGTTCGGGACTGGAAGGCAGGGGGGAAATAGGTGAACAACACACAATTAATTTTGAAAGACAAAGGTGGATGTCGGGTGGTNGGGGTGGGCTTGGCGGGGGGAAGGGGGGGAGGCAGGAGGAGGGGGGAGGAGGAGGGCCGCCGCGGGGGGGTTTCTTAGGGTTATTCAGATAGGCGATCTTGTGCTTGGTCCTCTGTACGGCACCCAACACCACTTAGGGCTATGTCGGGGCTCTCCGGCGGAGGCGCTTCACGGCTCTGTACCCGGATGCGCATCTGCTGCGACACCACTTCCTGTTTCCCTTCTCTCCCTTCCCCCATCCTTTTTGCTTTCGTATCTCCTCCCCTGCCTCCCCTCCCCTGTCTCCCCTTCCCTCCCTCTCCCCCTTCCTTCCTCTCTCGCCTTCCGCGTCTCTCCCTCCCTCTCCCTCCATTTTGCACTTTCCCCCTTCCCATGCTTCAAGACAGACGTGTGCCCCAACACAATCGGGTGCTGGACAAATCAAAGACAACAAAACGCGCGCGCAATCTCCCCATCCTCTCTCCCCCCTCCCCTATCCCTCAACCCCCAAAATTCTCTCCACCTGCAGCGGAGGGTACTCCAGGGCGGGGGAAGGGGAGGGGGAGGAGGATGCAGTTAGGGCCAGCGGCCCTAAGTGGGACGTCACTGGCTCCAGGGCTCCCGCCGCCGCCGCCGCCACCGCTGGCAGTCCGCCCAAGGTTGCCGTTCCTGTCACAGGCGTTGGAAGCAGCGGCGGCGGTGGCGGGTGCGTTGCGATAACCACCGCCCGCCGGGCGACGACACCGCACTGGCCGCTACCATCAGCAGCACCACCACCACCAGCGCCATTACCGCCACCGAAAAGGTGGACATTGCCGGGTGGCGCCTGGTGGCCTGAGAAAAAGAGGAAGAGGAAGAGGAAGAAGAGTAAGAAGGAGTAGAAGAGTAAGAAGCGTGTAAGGAGTGAGGGCGACAGACAGCGGGCGATGGTGACGGGAGGAGTGATGACGGATGCATGTCGGTGAAGGAAATCGTACAACGTACGGCAAGTACGGGACACAGTACCAGTGCATTCCAAGCAGAGGGACATGGTGACATTTTCCATCCGATATAGTCCCCAGCTGTATCCCATCCAAAGGCCTCTGCAAACTGGGGCCCTTACTGCTTGGGGCTCCATGAGGAGGGGGTTCCGCAGCGGCGGGGGGATAACATCTGGTAACATAGCGACCTAGCGAGATCAAAGAAACCCCCAAGTCCGAGATCCCCAAGACCGAGATCCCCAAGCTGTCCATGTGCTTCTCCTCCCTGCTTCCCTGCTCCCTTGCATTCCGCGCACCTGGGTTGCCGTTGCCGCTGTATGGCCTAGTTATCATTGGTTTGGTGCCGTACGGCTGCATCATCGCCTGTTGGTCACGGGGAAAGCCCTGGGGGCGGTCGCCTGCAGGGGGTGTTGTGGGGTGTGTGCGAGAGGTTGGGAGGGGGGAGGTCCGCTGGTAGACTCACTGAACCAGATGATGATGACGCGATGATGCTGATGCTGATGCTGATGATGGCGATGCTGATAATGATGATGGCGATGATGATGATGATAATGGCGACGAGGGGCCTGCGTTCCCCGGGGCCTTTTCACTCACCCACAATGCCGGTTTCCACGGAGCTTCGAATGCCGCGGCTTCTAAATAGACCCGCAGCCAAGGGCCCGAGAGCAGCTGGGTTTAGATTCGTGCCCGCCAAGGTAGCGTGTCGCGTGTAAGGTGACTGAGGGCGCACGGACTGCAGTTGCTGTGGCTGCGGGAGAGCAGCCAGGGGGAGACGGTGGCCGATTCTCTGGGCCATGCCATAGCCAGCAGCATCGTGAGATGTTGAGGCTGGATCGGAGTCCTTGGGGCTGGTGGTATCGCCGGAGCACCGCTGTTCAGCATAGAGGAGCTGCTGCTGATGTGGAGGCGGAGGAGGTTGCGGCTGTGCAAACGGCTGCGGATGCTCTTGTGATGGCGACAGTTGAAATGACAGCTGGGGTGTGTGCTGAACGGGTTGCGGCTTCTGATGCAGCTGTAATCTTTGTTGTGATTGACGAAGATGTGTGCTTGCTACTGGATTCAGACCTACCTGCTGTTCGCTGTCGGGGGAAGAGCGCGCCTCAAGCTGTGACTGCGTTGAGTCGTTGTTGAGAGGCTGCAAATTGGCTGCAGACTTCCTTGGCGCTGTTGTATTTATGGATTGCTGCTGCAGCGCTAGGAATGCGGCTATCGCCTCTCTTTCAGAAGCTGCATTTGGAGGCAAGCCCGGCGCCATGGCAACCCAGCTCCTTCAATCAAAGGGTGTAAGCCGATAAGCAAATCGGACAGCGACCACGGGTTATAGTATTTATGTGCCTATCTTCAAGAATCAGGATTTCGATGCGGGACTGACACGCGCTGAGCTGTGCTCAGGCCATTGTTCTTGACGTTGGCTCGGCATACAGCCACCAGTGCCTGCAAAGGGTAAATGTTTTTTAAAATGAGCTTTCAGAGTTCGTCAGCTTTCAGATCTGAAGCTCTCCGTCTGTGGCGAGTTGTACTGGTTCTTCGAATCCAAGTTCCGTTTGCAACGCCCAATAACGGTCTTAATCCTTCCAGCTATGAGCTGCTCTAGGAGCCCTAGTTAATCCTGTAGCCATCTTAATAAAACTTGACGATGCAGGCACTGACAAATTATCGCCCGGCGTCAAAACTCAGGACGGTCAGCAGGGTCGTGCAGGACAAAAGCGCCCACCAAAATGCTGACCCTGCCAGGAGACGAATTCTTGTATTAATGCATGCCCTTGGACTCTAGCAAGTGGACAGGATTTTTATGGACCTTTTCGGTCGCGACCGTAACTCGGCGGCTGAGCAGTGCTGCGCAAGGTGTCAAGCTGTCTTTCTGTGGCCTGTCAGCCAGGGGCCCGCCCAGCAACAGAGGGGCCATCTCTAAAATACGTTGAGCGCGCGAGGGCTTCCGTCCCTGTTGTAACGCCGGATGCGGTTATAACCGTCGATATATCTGGTTCAAGTCGTGAGTCGCAGAATCTCGTAATAACTTGTTTCAACCTGTCCCATCCATAGATAGCCTTGGAGGCGTCGCAGCGACTGCGCCATGTAAATTATGATGCAAAATTATTCCAATAAACAGGCAACTTCAAAAACAGAGCTTTGGACTTGTATTCACGCAAGCTGCATGCAAGCCCCTCCGGGCTCCGCTCCTTGGAAGCCTCCCTTGCGTCCTGTACCTTGAATGTCATGCTTGTGCTGTTATGTCGGTCGAATAAATTTGACATCGTTTTACATGGAAAGTGTGCGCGCTTAGTGGCGGCGTGCCGTTTTACCTATCATCCGCCTTATTTGCTAGATCGGCCAAGGAGAAATTCGCGGCTGGCGTCCTTGCAAATCTCATAGAGAGCTCATTTTATTATTATGCTAGTTTGATTCGCGTTACTTGTTCGCGGCAGTTGTAGTGATGGTTATAACACCTGGCAGTGGCAGCTTGCGCAAAAGCAACCGACCGCGCGGTTGGAGCATTTATTCCAGCATGTTCTGCCTAGCAACAATGTCATATATAGGCATCAGATAGCCAGTATTGCGTAAGTAGCACTTGGGAAGTTCCGCCAGTTGTTTCATTGAGGGCCACGGAAGGAGACACGGTGCCTGCTTTCCAGAGTCCTGTATAATTTCCATAATAGGGATGTCACCCAAAATCTGAATGGGAGCTATTTACCCTTGTTGCAAAGACACTCGTAAGAGGTACGCACTTGAAGCTTCTTAAGTGGATGTGTCAAAAGCTCCTTTACTCACTGCGTGATACAGCAGCAACATTAGCAGTGGGACCAAGCAACGCCCTCTCGACATCAGGGCACGTGAGGAGGATGCAGCAGGAAAAAGCAGCACTGTACTGCTTGTATTGTACAAGCAGAAACAAACACCGGAGGCCTTCCAGGGTGCATGTGATTGGCCTTATTCCTTCAGGAAAGCTTGCAGGATTGGATTGATGTCTCCACGACTACGATGCAGCACACCGATTTTAGGAAAGCTCCACACGCCTGCAACGCGCTAAACTGGACGCGTACATCACGATGAGCAGCGGCACCATCTCTTTTCATTACCTGATGCCATAGCAATAATACAACATTCGGGTTTACCACTTTGCGTAAGCTGGGCAGCGAACTGCCTACCGGCACCTCTGCTTAATATGAATGCTGACGGCTGTGCAGCTCGTCTGATTCGTTTATCCATTGATTTAGTGCATCACTTCGGTTGCAAGTGTTTCTTACGGACCTGATGTCCAAATGGACGGGTCGTTGTTGAGCACCGCTGATAATGGTTACGATGGACAAGAAGACATTGAATTTCATGAGGGCTGGCTTCAAGATGCGCCTAGCAGGGTTGTGCGAGGAGTGCAACGAAATGTTAGCACAAGCGCCCTGGACGCAAGGTCAGGCAGGAGGCTACATTGGTCGCCGCAGGAGGAGATAGCACTTGTAGTACGTCACTGTCAAATTGGGAACAGGTGCGCTGGAGGACCTGGGAGGTGTTGCGATGTCACAAAGAGTTGCAGCTGAGAACGTATGTAACCATACCATCGAGGCTTTCCTAAGTAAAAATTAAAAAGCATTCCTTTACTTCCATACCAGTATTAGCAGATGACTGCGCACATAGTCGTCTCGTTATTTGGCATGTTGACACCACACACTACTACTTTCCCTAATTGTCAGGTCCCGACCATCTTTTACCCACGCAGGTGGTCTGCAATTGCGAAGTATCTGCCTGGTCGCACAGGTGCGTGCTTCCTGTCGGCCCGTTGCCTTCCCCCGGCCGTGTGGCCCCATCTTCCCGCCATGGCCGAGAGTTGGAACTCCCCAAAGTTGTTGCGGTTGTTACAGTGGGCTCCAGACTCACGAAGAGTAGAGCCAGCGGGCCAGGGGGCCGTGCACTGCACTTGTGTGGATATATTATCCCTTGTCGTAATGCAAAGGAAAACGCGCTCTTCGCAAAACGCCGCCTGACGTTTGCAGGCGAAGCAGAAAGAAAATGATTGTAAGGGTTGTTTTTGACAAGACATCACCTGCGTGCCTCTTTTTGTTGTTTGCCCAGTAGTTCCGCTCTTCAGCGGTACATCTAAACTACCTAAAGCCAACTGTCATCCATGTTATAAAACCCTCGTCCCGTCCCAGTCAACTGATGCCGTACATCCCCTCTTCCTGTTTTTGATCCCCTCTCCTATCCCGCTGCTTCAAACGACGGATACTACCACCATCGGTGTACGAACCGTCTGGGCGCGCTTGGGTGTCGTCGTTCGTTGGTATTTCTGTTATGGCGGTTATCGGGTCCTCCATGGTGATGGCGGTTGGGCTTTTCCTTGACCGAAACACCGCGTCATCCTCGTCTACGAACACGACGCTGTCTCGTACACATCCGCCGGGCCGTCAGACAACGACATTAAAAATCTGTGAGTGTACAAAAACACGGGAATCTCAGAGGTCCTCCGTTGCCGCCGGGTTTGGAACATGTGACGTGGAATCATGTGCTTTCAAATATTATTTGATTTTTTAAGGTTTGGACTCGAATTTGAACTTGTATGCAGATGGCACAGCACCTTGCGCTCCAAGACGTGTCGTCGAAGTTCGTTGCTCTTTTGCTACGTCCAGCTCATTCGGGACTGTCCGGACGATGTCGCTGCGCGGCGCGCCGCGTACGACAAGGCCATGCAAATGGTGTACGGCAACGGCGGCAGTGGCGGCGGCGCTGCCGCCCCGCTGCCGCAGCCACCGCTTTTGGGTCCTGGCGGCGGCTGCGGCACCGGCACCGGCAGCGCCGGTGCTTCACCTCGGGTAGCACCGTACCACAGGAGCAGCGTTCCCGGCAACTCGGCTATCCCGCTGCCAGCTGGGCCCGCTCCCTTGAGAGGTACGGAAGAAGTACGGTACTTCCGTGAAAGCTTGTTACTATGGTTTAACAAAGATTTCATTCATTACCGTAAACAACCGTTTTCTATAACGCGCTAAAACAGGACATATTTGCTCTAGAGCACAACAATGAAAAATTTTAACCAACCCTTTTAAATTGTACCGCTTAAGCAAGGAGTTTTCCTTCCAATGCTACGCCAAATTCCATCTTCGCATCTATTTTCTCCGTTTTGCTGGGAATTGAATCGTGTTGTTTATGATAAAACAATTGCCTCGTCAAAGTCGTCATGTTTAAATGTTTCTTCTGAGTTTGGGGCCGGAACTGCATTTTTGTTGAATCAGCCTAGCGTGTGCGCTTCCCTGCATTCCCTGCTCATGTGCTCATACATATATATCCGCACGCATCCAAACGTGCCCAACTCCGGCGCAGTGTCCTGTAATGGAATCAACGGTTTGAGTTTGGAGCATGGCTGGTCTTACAACGTGAGTTGACGCTGTTTGACCGGAATGGGGAAACGCCTCCTCGTCCCACTTGGTACTTTGGATGGACGTCCTGTCGCAGTTGATCCTTTACTTCTTGCGTCACGTGATTTCTTCTTCCTTCCTCCACCGCCCGGGCCCGGGCGGCGGAACGCGTGAAGAGGCGAAACGGGTGCAAAAAAGGGCAAAGGGCGGCGGGGACGTAGGAAGGAAGGGCACGCGACCGAATTAGGAACTGCCGCTGGGACTGGGGAGACCCGCGCGGAGCGGGAGAGGATAGGTTTCGTAAAGGGATCAACATGAGCCCATCTATTTCCTTAAAAGGCCGCTCCGGTCCAAATCCGTCTATCTCTGGTGTCTGCTGCATTCGTGAGGGGTTCTCGTCATTAAACCCCCCGTCAAATCTTTTTAATATTAAAACCCAAGAAGATGTTCTCCGGGGCTATTTGGGAGCTCGTCCTCAGGCCACATGAGCTACACGATCGGCCTTACTTTTTAGCTTTGTCTTTTTTTGCTTGTTTAGGTGGCGAAATTTTTTTTGTTAACAGAACAAAGGATATGGCGGAATTTTAGATGCTACTATGGACTTCAAATCCGTCCTTCCTTCAAAATCCCCAATCCAAATGTTTTATTAGTTTACAACGACAATCATTTTTTTCTGGCACCTTTAGCAGGGTACTGCTTGCAATGAACCGGTCCAGACTTCTGCGGGGCAGCTGCAGCTGCAAATGGGTTTGGGAAGCATGGATTCGCCAGTCGGTGCTGCTTCTGGCGGATACGGCAGTGGTACGGGCGGTACGGCAAGTACGGCAGGACTCGGTAGTGTCAGGGGTTCTCCCTCTGAGGTCGCTCCGGCGTTTAATGGCTCCCCTTATCGGACTTTATTCGCTGCTGCGCATCAACATCAGCAGCAACAACAACAACAACAGCTGCGACAGCAGCTCCAGCAACAGCATCTGCAACAACAGCAACAACAACAACAACAACGGTACAATTCGTTGCTGCAGAACCAGCAGAACCACCAGAACCACCAGCAGCAATCGTGTGCTTTTCCTGTTATTCGACACTTATCGTCATCGTCATCGTCGCCAGCGATGCCAGCTCTGGGCACTCTGCAGGTGCCAACAAGGTTAACATCGTCATCGCGCTTAATGTCCCAGTTGTCTGAACCGTCACAACAGATGTCACCACAGCAGCAGCAGCAGCAGCACCACCACCACCAGCAGCAGGAGCAATACCAACAGGCCCCGCACTACCGGCCGCCGCAGCCAGATCCGTATTCCGGGATGTCCTTCCTTCCGCGACCTCGTTCCTTTCCCCAACAACAAGAACAACAACAACAACAACAGCATGAGCAGCACCAGCACCAGCACCAGCACCAGCACCAGCAAGTACCGCTACAAGCGCCACACATATTTTATCAGCAGCAACAGCAACAGCAGCATGACGGGCAGAATTTCAAAGATCCCCAGCTATCTTGTCGTACAGCCGTACAGGCGTTGCCGGCGCAGTTGCTGCCAACCGTTCACCCCTTTCACCAACACGCCGGGAGTCATTCCGTCCATTCAGATGCCCAATTGGGGCTGGGGTTGGGGCTGGCCTATCAGTCTTTGGATCCGCCCCCCCGTAGCAGTGGCAGTGATAACGGCCTCGCTCATATGCCTTGGCAGCAGCAGCAGCAGCAGCAGCAGCGGCAGCAGCCCCTGTCGGCGCCGCAGCTGCTCGGTTTGGACGGCTTCAATGAGGTGAGGTACGGCGGGACGATGGCCCAGGAGCAGCAGCAGCACCAACAACAACAGTTACAACAGCAACAGGAGCAGCAGCAGCAGCACCAACACCACGTCGTCAACCAGCATTTAATGCAACTCCAGCTACAGCAGCAGCAATACCCGAATGGAGCACAGACGATGCCCCTCGGTCTTCAATCCGCAGCGACTACATTCCCTTCTTTCTACAGCAGCAGCAGCGCTTCGACGGCGCCGCTGGTTCCGGAGCCACTGGCGGCAGCGGGCACGGCGACGGCGGCCTTTGTACGGCGTACTTCGACGTCTCTGTCGCTACCGCCATCACCTGTCGATAAGGCATCGCAAAACATCGGGCAAGGACACGGATTCTTTGTGGGTCCAGCGGCGGCCGTAGCAGCGCCGCCGCCGCCGCCGCCGCCGCTCCAGCATCAGTCGCTGCTACAGCCGTCGCGGCAGCGACCGCTCTCAGCGCCAGGAATGGGGATCCCGTTACAGCAGCTGCTACAGCCGCTGCACCGCCTCTCCTTCAGCAGCGCTGCCGCCGCCGCCGACACCGCCGTCACCACTGCCACTGGCACTACTGCCGCCAATCCAGAAGGTTTTATTCTCCGCGGAAATGGCGAGAGCGTTGCCGCCGCCGCTACAGCCAACCCGCTTGACGGTGCCGTCGGCGGCGAAAGTGACGGCGAATGTGGTGGCTGCGGCGGCGGCGGCGGCGCCGCCGCTGCCAACGACGTCGCCGCAGCCTTCGATAGCGATACGGCATTTGCGACCTGGTCCACGGGATTAGCGTCGGTGTCCCTGGCGGGAATGTCGGGGGAACCCCTGGACCTCACAATGTACGATATCGCGCTACTGCCATGTGCCGCCGCTGCCGCGCGTCAGAGCAACGCTACCACGCAGACCGCTACGGCCAACATCATCAGTGCTGCAATGGTCGAAGCGTGCGACGCCGACAACTCGGCAGCGGCGGCGGCGGCGGCGCCGCCGCCGCCATCCTGTTCGTCGCAGCCGCAGCTTCATTCATGCGGCCACCAGCTGCAGCCGCAGCCGCCGCAGCTACAGCCGCCGCGCCATCGCGAGGCGGAGGAGGGTGGGTATTTCTCGCTCGAGGCGCCATCGCGCGCGCCACGGCTCCCGCCGTCGTCGCCGTCGCTGCTGCCCGCGTCACCGCGTGCGTCATCGACGCCGGCAGGTTCTCTGATGTTCTTACGCTCCGAAGGGGCGGCGGCGGCGGCGGCGGCAGCCCTGACGGCGCCTAGAAGCGGCGCCGCCGCTGCCAACGGTACTGCTGTCTCCACTGCGGGAGCTCCGGGAGCGACGACGGCCGCCGCTGGATTGTCTTCGCTGCTTCTTAAGGGTCTGTCCGGAGGGATTGTAAGGGAGGTTTCGGAGCCGCTTCCCAGCGGCGGTGGTGGTGGTGCCGGCGGCGGCGACGGTGGTGGCGGTAGCGGCATCTTTGCACTGCACAGCTGCGATGTCGTGGGCCCTATGGGACTGTCCCACCACCAGCAGCAGCAGCAGCAACTGTCTCAGCTACAGCCGCAGCCTCGGCCCACGTCAGTGCCGGCTACTGCGGCGGCGGCGGTTTCCGCGCTTCTGCGCGTGGGGCAGCATCAGCAGCAGACGCTGACGCAGCAGCAGCAGCAGCAGCAGTTAATGCCGCCTCCGCCGCGTCCGCATTCCTCGCCTGCCCAGCCAGTGCAGCTTCAATCGCAGCTACAGCTGCAGCTGCTACAGCAGCGCGATTCGAGAGATTCATTGGACGAGATTCTAGAACGTTTCGACCCGGCGAGCACAGCGTCAAACGCCTTGGCGGAATTGCCGACCATCCAGGCGGAAGACCGACCCACGGGTCACTTCGGCGACCGTCCCACGGGTCATTCCCAGTATCGACCCACGGTAACGGCGGAGGCGGCGACGACGAGGCTGCCTGGCACCTCCGCGGAGAGCCCTTCCGACGCCTTACCGACGGGTGTTGCCAGGAGCAGTAGCAGCAGCAGTAGCAATGGCCATGGCGGCGGCGGCGGCGGCATGTCTGGTTTGCTAGGTGTGGTGTCAGGTGCGGCACCGCCGGTATTGAGGCAGCATCAGGATGCTGCTGTTTACCGCAGCGGCGGCGCCATCGGTACGGCGCGTACTGGCGACGGCGGCGCCGCCGCCGGAACTGATGGCACCGTTACAATGGGTTTATGCGACGACGAGCTGGATGCTTTGTTGGGCGACATGGCAGCCCGACAGGCTCTGTGAAGGACGACATGTTGAGAAATAATAATTTCTGTTGTACGAACAGGGCCACCGTACGTTGTGTCGTACTTTAAAACCATATTGTGACATATTTGGACCATTCTCTGACGCCCTCCAGAAGTCAAGATTGCGGGTTTTAGATTGGTTATTAATGATGTGTTGTGTATCTCATAATAAATTGTATGAGACGCCGAAAAGGGTTTAAGATGTTTGTCTCTCTGTCTGTCTGTTTGCCTGTGTGTTTGTGATTTGATTTTTTTGGCAGTTGCAGAACAATAAAACTGAGAGTTTTTTTTGAAGTCATTATGTTGAGGGGTCGCAAGGGGTCGCAATCCTCCAGGGCCGAACCTGCGGGGGTGACATCTTAACGAAACCCGCAACGGGTGCCCCCCCCCCTTCCCTCCCACCCCACCCCCCCACCCCCCCACGGGGCCCCCCTCTCCCCGGGGGGAAGGGGGAGGGGAAGCCCGTCGTGTGTGTTTTTAAAGTTTAGCTCTTTTTTAAGGAAAAGGCCGAAATGGTACTCAAATAATTTTTGTGTGTATGTGTGCGCGTGTGAAGGAAATAAAGTGGGAAATCTGGAATTCCGAAAAACACGGCAGGTCAGTTTTAGCCCCGGGGGGGTTTTAGTCGCACGCGCGCACGCTCCCTACGGGCCAAGAGGCTCCGTCACGCGGGTTTGCGTTCACTGAGCTTCTAAAACACACAACAAGACTCCCCTCTCCCTCCCCGGCCTGATCCGGCTCTTGGGTTGAGAGAGTTCGCTTCTAAGACAGCGGAAACCCGGAAGCCCTGTACAGACCCTAAACCCTAAACCCTAGTACGGCACGAGGCCCTCATAGAAAGCTCGGTGTGTGTGTATGTGTGTGTGCCCCCCTCCGCCATATGTAGACGGGGGGGGAGGGGGAGGATAAAATGTCAGGTCCGGACCCAACCTTTGTGTATCCCGTGGGTCCACGTGCATGCGCGCACCCCTGAGCGAAACGGCTGCGGTGGTGGTGGTGCTGGTGGTGCTGGTGGTGCTGGTGCTGGTGAACGAAGGGCGTGTTGGTAGAGGGGGAGGACGGCGGCACCGGAGAAGGGGGAGGGGGAGCAGTTCTATCCCCATAAGGCCCCCCCGCCGCCCTGGGACGGGAGGAGCACTGAGTGGCTCACTCAATAGCAAAAGGAGGTCTGTGTGTGTATGTGTGTGTGTGTGTGTTGGGGGGGGTGAT